GCTTCAGTCGGTCAACTAGGCTGAGTGCCCCTTCGACGAATTGGGTTCGCGGACCGCGGACCGCTGCTCCTGCATTTTCGGGCTCCCCACGCGCCACACCCGGTGCCACGAAGGCGCAGGCGGTGCCGAAGAGAGCAAAGAGCACTGCGAGGCCTTGGGGCGAACGGAACGGATGGACACGGAAAGGACGCCAGAAACATCCTGAGGACACCGCATGGAACAAGGGGCGCTGAGTTTGGACGATCGTGGAAACGATGGATTGGTGTCGAAATTAGCCTCTTATAGGTGATTCGGGATGACCTGTTGGAAGGTCGTGGTGACACAAGTGTGGTGCCGTAGCTCGGGAAGCTCGGGACGCTCGTCACGACTTCTGGACTTGGAGAGAGCATGTTTTATTTTTGTTCAAGTCATTCCCCAAATAGTGCTCCGCACTAAGGGGTTCTTACGGTAAGAGTTAAGCGGGTTTAGATCAGGGTTCGCGCGTGTTGGCGCGGCATGTTGCGTGGGCCGGCTCGCACAGAAGTTACTTTTAGAATTCCTAGTCCATTTCGACTGCGCAGGCTCGCATAAAGTGGTGGCCGCGCCTTTCGCGCTTCCGGGACAAAGCTCTCGTGCAGGTGCCGTGCTCGTTTTCGGACATGAAGTGCATTTTGCGTGGCAGGCGCAAGGAATTCGACACATTGGAGCCTCTAAAAGGTCATTTTACGTGGCAGGTGCAAGGAATCGGAGACTTTGCAAATTTCGTGGCAGGCGCAGTGTTTTGTGGACGTTGCAAAAACGTTGGCAGGCGTGTGTCATTCGCAGGATTGCGTTTCACGTGGCAGGCGCAGGGAATCCGCACCATGGATGCGATATTTTGAGGTGAAACGGCTGAATTCGTGAGAGGGGTCGCATTTTTGGAATTTGAACTTGAGGATGCTTTTGCGTGGCCAGTGCAGCATTTCGAATGACCTGCAGGCATGATTTCGTGGCAGGCGCAGCATTTCTGAAACGCATTTGAAAATTTGCGAAAGCCTCGTGCAATTTGCTCATTTTGGATCTCCGATGTGCAGATTTCGTGGCAGGCGCAGCGATGCGCAGATTTCGTGGCAGGCGCAGCACTTTGTGAATGTCGATGTGCAGATTGCGTGGCAGGCGCAGCACTTTGTGAATCTCGATGTGCAGATTTCGTGG